AATATCGTAACTGATAGTAGCCTGTTTGGGTGTCCTCTCCCTCTCCTATTTGATAATTCCCTTAAATTGTTAAATTTCTTTTACATCTTGCAAGTGTAGGGAGAGAAACCAGTTTATGGGAACTAGTTAGTATATTATGTCTTTACGTAGTACTCAGTTCATGCCAGGCTTAATATTATCTATTTCCCAGTGAAAATGATTTTTCATAACTTCTCTCTGCTCTCAGGAGCAACGGTTGTGATTATTTTGCTGCTGGATAGTTGACGTGTTAAACCTCCCTGGTGATGGGATAGTGGAGTGGTGTGTGTGTGTGTGTGTGTGTGTGTGTGTGTGTGTGTGTGTGTGTGTGTGTGTGCGCGCGCGCGCGTGTGTGTGTGGAAGGGCAGCAGAGGTAGAGATTATAACCTTTTTAAAGTGTAAGGATGATAGCCTTAAAGAATACTTGAGGGAAATTGAAAGGCCGGTCCTAGTTTTCCTTTCCCTTCAAAATGTACTAGAATTCTTAGGGAAGTTGCTAAGTAAGGGGGCAGGGGGGAAGACGAGGACAGCTGTAGCTGCAAGATTGGTCAAAGAGCACTGTTCTTTAGCCTATTAGTAATAGGAAGGAAATGAAACAATAGAATTTAAAATGACAAGTCTTTGTTTTTAAATTGTCCGTGCTGAATAGAAATATATAACAATGTACATGATTACTAATATATTTTAGTTCACATGTGGTTAATTTTGCTTCTTTTGTAAAGGACCTTTAGATGTGCATTTAAAAAGAAGAAACTACCTAGTGTGCTGTTGGGTGGGGGTGATAGGATGGTATGATGGAGAGAGAAATAGAATTACCCTGCGTGTAGCTGCTGTGTGCCTGTTGTTGATCCTGTCCTTTAGTGTTGAAGGCCCAGTGGGCCTGCCTGGCTGGATGGAGGCATCAGTGCTGTCCACACAGGGAGTGCTCTTTGAGTGCTCTCCATACAGGAAGTCCTCCCTAAGTGCTGCCCACACAGGAAGTCCTCCGGAGTGCTGATGAGTGCTCTTCCTGATGGTACCAAACCACTCCTGTAGGGAGTGCAGAGGGCCTACTAATACAACCCCCCATTTATTCACCACTGACAGTTTTCTATCGATTTTGGCATTCACATTAAGCCCAGACAAATGTTATCAGGAAAACCGAATTAGCTTGCTTTCCCTGCCCTTGGAGAAACAAGAATGTAGCTTGTTTACCTGAGCTGAAGCAGTAAAATTAAGCTGGAGAAGGCTGAGGTAGACTACTAGGTTCTTTTGGGATGGGTCAGCACTAAGCTCTGGTTGTCTAGCCACCTGGTTCCCTAATTAGATTGAATGTGTGTAAACTGACTAAGAGCTTCATCCATATGAGGGTCTTTTCAAATTCCAAGGCAGTTTAGGGGTTTTGAGAGGCAAAATGTAAAAGGACCACCAGTGATAAAAATGAAGTTTGGTAAAGTATCATCTCTTCGTAAGCTTTTTTTGGTCTAAGTTTACTATTTGTGCTGCCAAGGCACATAGTCGAACTACAAAGTGTAATTGCTTTAAATTTATCAGAGTTCTGAAGTTGTAGTTAAAGACTTGTCAGTATTTGCATTTCAATCTAGGAGAGTGGCTTTAATTCTTTACTGCTTTAAGTCATGCCTTCCTAAAATGGTGACTGTAATGTTTAGCTATAATTTGCTGTAGCTTTCAAAAGCTGTTTGCAGAATTTGTTCTTGGCTTTAATTCTTTACTGCTTTAAGTCATGCCTTCCTAAAATGCTGACTGTAATGTTTAGCTATAATTTGCTGTAGCTTTCAAAAGCTGTTTGCAGAATTTGTTCTTTAATAAAAATATTTATAAAGTAGAATTTTAAAAACCCATTTTTCTTTTTAAAGCTAACCTTGTTTTTTGTTTTTAAAGGACTATCTGTGTGCTCATTAAATTAATAGCTGCCAGTGGTATTAAGTATCATATTTCAGAGAATTTTGAATTTGGTAGTTAGGCTGCAGAAAGGATGAGCACAGAAAGTGAAAGAATATAAATAGACATTTAAGATATAGAAAGTGTTTGGGGGTGCCATTTAAGGGTACTGTTTGAAGGCTCTGGCTTTGTTGTCTAGCAGACCTGGGTTCAAATTCCAGACCTGTGACCTACCAGATATGTGGCTTTGGCACATTACTTAATTTCTCTTGAGATTCAGTTTCCTAACCTGCAAAATGGGAGAACAAGAATGTTCCTGTCTCATTGGATTAAGTAAGTTAATGTATATAAAGCACTTAGCACAGTGTCTGGCACACAGTAAACATGCAATATATTGACTATAATTATTACTCATACTATTAAAATTATTATTAATCCATTCTGAGTATTTTGGAGTAAACACCTTTATTGTGTTTGCCTTTTCTTCTTTGAGCATGTGTCTAGTCCTTACCAGGACTTACGTTTTTAATTTCAATGAGTTCTAAAAATTTTGTCTTTGATCTAAAATTTTCTGCACCAGAAAATTAAAAAATTGATAACCTAGAGTAATTCAGTGCTTTTCTCATTTGGGTATCTTTCTCCATGTTCAGCTAGATCTGAGAAAGAGTTGATATTCAGATAATTTTTGAATTTGAACTTTGTTCTCTATAGGATTCACTCAAGGTTAGTAGTCCTCGGTTACATTCAGGAACCACCTTCTCCTACCTAGAGTGAGAGCATAGGGAGATTTCATTCCCTCACAGGGCAGGCTAGAGGGGAACCAGGGAGGCACAGCCTGTATGTATATGCTCCCCCACGGTGGGAAAATAATGCTGTAATAAATATGGATGCCTGTCAAACATATATTAAGTCAGCTATGCAAATTCAGAAATGTAAATCATAGTTCTGTTTCTTCTGCCAAAAATAAATACATAAATAAAAGCCTCCTACTTTCATGTCCAAATAATCTCCAAATAAATCATACACCCAAATGTTTCTTTTAATCATATGAGTCCACACCCTGCACTTCAGACAAAAGCAGAGGTTAGAGTAGATGCAGACTTGGAATGCAGCCTTTAAAATGTCTGATGGTTCATTTGCTTTGTGTTGATGTAATCCCACTAAGAAGCCCAGGATGGACCTGATCTATAGCTTCTTTCTGACTTCTCCAAGTCTCATCCCGGGTGAGATCTCCCAATAGCTGCACTCTGAACACTCTGGGTCCTACTGTGAATAACAGCGTGGCTTGGGTCAGGGATAGTTTCTATCTAGAAAGTAGAGTCGGGCCGACCTGTGGCTCACTCAGGAGAGTGCGGTGCTGGTAAAACCAAGGCCATGGGTTCGGATCCTATATAGGGATGGCCGGTTGGCTCACTGGCTGAGCGTGGTGCTGACAACACCAAGCCAAAGGCTGAGATCCCCTTACCGGTCATCTCTTTAAAAAAAAAAAAAAAAAAAAATAGAAAGTAGAGTCTTTAGCCCTTAGAGAAAAACCAGTAGTATGGGGAAAGGAGATGAGTTCAGCTGCTAGTGAAGGGAATAAATCAAATAGATTTCATAGGACATGATCTCAGGCAGGTTTTATTTTTGCATTAAGCAGTACTGATTTCCTAGTTCAAGTTCATCCTTCAGTAAATAGCATTTCTACATCGACTATTATTAACCTTTCTTGATGCTCTCCTACTAAAAGAGAATCTCTTTAGATAAGAGTGGTGTTTAGACTCATAAGATATCTTAGAAAGGATTCTGGACAGTAGGAAGAAGAATCTGGAAAGTGTAGAACCAGAAGAAATGGTTACATGTCTAAATTAATGAGATCCCAGTGTGTCGGGATATTGTGGAATTAGGATGATCATGGCAGAAACTAGGTGTAGAACCAGGAATCTTATACTGAGTAGCTGGGGTTGCTGATGGGGTGAATGAGGGTGTGTTTATTGCAAGGGGTCTGCTTTTCAGACTTTCCTCTGTGGAATGTTATTTGTCTTCTATATGCCTAATTTTCTTGTTTGTGGTAGTAAAAGTCAAGCTATAAAATTTAAAACTTTTTTTGAATGTTTATTGACTTTAATTTTGTATGTTCAAACTGTGATATAAATGATGTCCTTAGATTAGTATATTTATTATGTAGCAGATGTGGGGTGAAAAAATTCCTGTCCTGGTATGAAATTGCTGAGCATTTGCTGTGAGCACACTTTGGATTGTGCTCACTTCCATCTCAAGCTGAGCCATTGAACTTCCTCAAAAGTCATGTGTGCAGCACAGGGTCAAAGAAGTGTGGTTTCTTTCAGTCGGTTTACAGACAATTATCTGGTGTGAGTACAATTTCAGACATTCTTCCTAGGTGGCTGCTAACTGTAAAAACCACACTGAGCCCTTGGTTGAAGCTTTATAAGAGTTGTGGTGGTTGCTGAGAGGCCTGGGAAGGTTTCCAACTACTACACCATTCTCACAGGGGTTAAATTTCATAAGGTTAGCCAGAGCGAAAGGCAGCAGGCCTGTGAATCTTATCCAGATGTCTCAATGGAGCGTGTGCCTGTGAAGTCCTTATATGAGGATCTAGATTAAATCCTACCTGATTATACTTGAGGAGTAATTGTTTTGAAGAGTCATCTTAATAAAATTATCAGCAACTTTCAGTCAAATGTTCTTCAGAATTTGAAAACCTTTTCAAAAGTCTAGTGATTTCTAAGTTACTGTATATTAAGATGATATTATCATATAACTTCATGCAAGTTAATTTTGAGTCTTCATAGTTGTGTTCCCTAAAATATGTGAATACGTTAATCTTACATAAATTTAGTCACAGTTAAGGTGCACAGAGACAATTTTCAACTGAGGAAAATCCCATTACTAATTTCATGTTGAAGGAGAGGGCTTTTTTTAGTAGAATGAACAGTTCTTTTTTGAGGTGTAAATTAAAATTTATACATCACTATAGCGTAAGATAATCTGTATTTAAATCTTGGTAATTTCATATTATTGTGGAGATCATACAGACTTGGAATTGTACTCAATCCCTTACCTCTAGCATTCTAATGCTTCTGGTTTTTGTTTTCCGGCAGTCTCTGGTCCCAGCCCACCCCATGGCCCCTCCCAGTCCCAGCACCACCAGCAGTAATAACAACAGTAGCAGCAGTAGCAACTCAGGATGGGATCAGCTAAGCAAGACGAACCTCTATATCCGAGGACTGCCTCCCAACACCACTGACCAGGACCTGGTGAAGCTCTGTCAGCCGTAAGTAGTCATTCTTGTTGTTTTAGGTGCTAAATATTTTGCTGATCATTTTCTAGAGTGATATAAATTGTGTGATAAGAGAGGTTTATAAGACAAATCTGTGCACAGTTAGCATCGCAACAGTAAAATGAGTTTCTAAGATTTAAGTCCTTGGACACTTATTCAGTCAGTATTAACATCAGCAGAATGTCTGTATAGTAAAATAAATTGGAGCATTTTCTCAATAGAATTTGGCTTTATTGACATATGAAGTAAAATATGAATTTTTTAAAAACATATGGCTAGATCCTTTTCAGGAGTGCTCATTTTTGTGGAAGCACCTCTGGGGGCCAGTCTATCCCGTAAGAGAAACTTCAGCTTTCATTGTTTGTCAGGAAGGTAGTTAACCACCTAGCCTCATCCTTAATATATGTAAAGCTCTTAATTCCTTCTGGGATACTATTAGTCTGTCTTCATGAGCACCTGCAGTTTTGTGGTCGAGGTTATTCACCCTCACTCTTTGAGAATAAGAAGTCATTTCTACCCTTTCTGAGTGTTGTGAAGAAATGTGTACATGTGCGTAAAGTCCAAAAATACGTTTGCATTATATGCTAATGTCACCAATGAATAGAATATGAATGTGCTACTTTGCTGCAGTTATATTAACTCACTAAGTAAGAAAGCACTAATTTAAACTAAGGAGCTAGAAGCACTGTATAGTGCAAAGATGGCTGTAAACACTAAAACATCAAATTGCATTGAGCTATGAAAGCCTACACATATAATAGCACTTTTTATTTATCCTAAGACAATAATGGTTCCTTACAAAAGGAATTTTGCATAACTATGGATGATGACTTTTACTAGAGAATGTTTCCTATTCCCTGAAAGATATTTCCATTTCAAAACACCTGATTTATAGCATCTCTTCTCATTTGTCCTGGGTAAAATTCAAACTTATTATTTCTTTTTATTCTTTTTATGCAAGATAGTAAATTCTAATATTTCTTTCTTTTTTTTTCCAGAAAAAAATTCAAAACTAACTTGAGCAATATTTCCAAACTAGAATTAAAAGCAACATCTGGCCTTCCATAAGGGGGTAGTGGTTGTTTTGCTGTTCTTTTGCTTTTGTTTTGTGTTAAGAGAGGAAGGGTAGGATAGTAGGTGGTGGTTTAGGATCTGGAGAACTTTCTAGAAGGCCATAACTCTTAGCACTCTCTCTGTGTCTTTCCCGTGTCACCCTTTTTGATCAGCTCTCTTGACTTTGACTTCAGCCCTTGGCTTCCAGGGCAGTGAAATAATGCCCTCACCAGTGACTATTCTGAAAGCAAGTCCAGTTCTCGGGGTTTGTCATGCCTGGCTGCAGGAAGAGGGAACTCTGCCAGGCGCGCCCTGCCCTACTGCAGCTGTTTAAGACCACAAATAGGCCTTTTGCTATCTTGTCTGCTGCTGGCCTTTCATTGGCGTCATCTTATGCTTTTGCAGCATAATTACAGGTAGATAGAGCGCCATAAAGTCTAAGGAGCTAAAAATATAACTTTGTAGGAAGCAAAAGAATAAAGCTAACCCTCAAATTCTCAAGGCGTAAGAGAAGGGAAGAGGATTTCAAAAGACAAATTGTTCTCCACTCGTTTTGAATTATGTAAGGTGAGTTGTGACGTCAAGGAGACCGAGTTAAATAACCGTAAAATAATAGAGTAATGCCACGTTTTATATACACTAAACATGTACTTGAGAAATTGAGCCAGTAATTTTTTTATTGAATCTAATCGTACTCCAAATGCAGTAGAAGAGTGTTTTATCATTTTTCCTAGAGTATTCATTCCTTATTTGTTGGTCTCTTTGATGTTTGCAGATTTTCTTAACATGTGTAAACATTATTCTTTTTGCTGTTATCAGTAGCAGCAGTCGCTGTTTGTCACCCTCACTCTCTTCTGTCATTTGCAAAGGAAGGCTCTTGCACAATCCCAGGTTTGATATTTAACTCTGATGATGGTTTTCTTGATATGTAACATAGGGGCAAGACATGACAATACTAAAGGATTGTATCTCAAAATCTGCTGGAAGCATCATTCCATTTAACACAGAGAATCCAATAAATAACCAAATTTGAATTGCTGACAATTTTGTGTCTTGGAATGTAAAGAAAGCAAAAAAAAAGGGCATTTCTGTTCAGGACTTGTTTCCAATATGGAATAGCTAGTTGGTGACATGGAAGTGACAAGAAGCTTATGGGAAAGTGACTCATTCTAGAGCTTAAAAAACCTGGTGGACATAATTAGAGATTTTAGAAAAGTGGGCATCAGAAACTTCTCAGAAAATGTAGGTATAAATCCATAGTTCTAAAAAAGAAAAAAACATTTAGAACTGAAAATTTAGCACTGTAATTACAAATTGACTTGAGGGGAGGGCACAACAGGCGACACAATGATTTGGCTCCCAAGGGGGCTTGGATATCTTAGAAGGTTATCTTAACAGAAGATGGGGAAAAATACCCAAGATTTTATAGTAGTGGCCAAATTCCATGCAAACAGTGCATGAAGTCTATAGGCAAGTATGACATGAAGATTTTAAAAACTGGAGAAGAAAACAGAAAATATTTTTAAAAAGCTATGTTTGCAGTAGAACGTAGAGATGCTATAATACTAGAGGAAATGGCAGTGAAAAAGCAGATGCAGTGACATTAAAAAAGATGACAGCAAGAAAAGCAGCCTCACCCTAACTCAGAAAGACTCAGGAAACTGTAAAGTATAGATCACCACGGTTAAGAGGAAGAGGTCATGTACGGCAGGAAGCTCAGACTGGGAGGTAACCAGTTGAGGTTATGGGAAATCTCGGAAACTCATGACTGCCACAACTTTCTGCCTATTTCTAGAAGGTTATCCTCTCAAAAAGAGCACATCAGTACAGTTAGCCAGCAAGTTTAGGAAGTGGGATGGTCTGGGTAGCAGAGAGGATTAATCCATTACCCCTTGACCTTTGGTCATTCTTAATTCTCTCCCTTCTTTAAAATCAAGCCAAACAAATACTCTGCTGGACCGTGCCTGTTTGTGTGGTCTTTGTCATATGTAAATATTCAGGAATGTCTCTCTCATTCAGACTTCTCAGGCAAGCTCTCTAGGCAGACGAGTTGAGGGCTTTCACTGCTTCCATTTGCTTGCCACCTTAGCCATTAGTATTTTGCCTTCCGGTTTTCGACGGAAACCGCACTGGCATCTTAAATATCCCTTAATTTCTCTAGCCTTTTTTAGCTGTCATCCACCTCTCCTCCTCAACTTTTTGCCCTTTTAGTTTCCTTTTTCTTGGTTGGCTCCTCTATAGCCCCATCCTCTCATCAAGTTATTTTCCACTCTTTGCAATTTTCCATGTTTTCCACTTGAATATTTTATTTGCAACTCCAATTCAACATTATCTCCTCTCTCTCAAAACTTCACTTTTCCAGATTTACTCTCCTAAACTTGAAGCTTTGGAGCAGTCCCCGTAGTCACCACGTCCTGTAGATTCTTCTTTGGCCTTCCTTCTTCCTTCATACTGTGAGGAGGATTGTGTGATTCCCTCCTGCTGCCCTGCAGTGTGACAAGTGAGAAGGGTTGGCTCCTGCTGCTCCCTCCCCTTAACCACCTCCCCATTTCCTTCCCTTCTGCAAGGCTAAGTGCACGCCCTCCCTGCTGCCTTTATGTTTGGACCACACTCATAACCTTCCTACTTAGCTATCTGTTTATTATACATCCCACAATCAGCATCTAACTTCCCTGCAGTTCTGTTCTCCAAGCACCTGTTGGGTTACATGGCGGAGTGTCTGTGACAGTATAGAATGCAAATAGCATGCCACCTTCACAGATTTCTCACCTAGCTTATAAATGCACTGTAGTCAGGGTAGCTAATTTTTGGTATCCCAGCGTTATCTGCCACAGTGCTAGGCAGTTACAGAATTTCTTAGTCAGTAGCCTGTGAAATGGGCCAAATATTGTTTTTATCATAAGGTTGTAATCATGATTAAATCAACTAATATAAGTAAAAGAGCTGGTCCACTAGAAGAAAGTTGCCTAGAAGAAAGTTGTCACAAGTGTTAGTGTGACCTGTTCCTTTGCTCCTCAAAATCCCAACTAAGTAGAATAAACTTAAATTATATTTAATCCTCCATTTAAAACTACAGAGGGAAAAAAAAAAAACCGATCAGATTCTCATTTTGAAAGCTGGGAAAGCCAGAGAAGTAGGTTATGTTAACATCACCTCCCACCTCCTCTCCCTTAAGGCTTTTTTTTGGTACTTGCAGAAGACTAGTTTTAGCCTCATGCTACCCACCCCTGATTTATTGCTTGTCATAATAATTACTACAACATGTAAAATCTTCTATTGTGTGTATAGTCTCTTTTTTTTGCAAATTCTGAAACAGTGTTTATTGTGAAGGTTTGGTCCATAGCTTTTCCTAATTTACAATGGGGTAAACGGTGTTACAGTCTCTGTTGGCGAAGTCTGGGTAGCTTAAAGATTACTGTGGCATTGACATTATATGAAAAGGTCTAGATAATTCAGTGTAGCAACAGCTTTTAAGGGAAGAACAGTCTATTGATATTAAAGCAAAATGAGATGTTTCTACTCCTACCTTCTCTAGCCCTTCTGTCATTCTTAAACCAATCCTTGACCAACCAATCCTTTTCCTTCCATTCAGTAGATTTCTAATTTATTTCAAAGTGCAATAAAACATAAGATTTTAATATAAATGTGAAATTAAAAGCAGCTTATGATATGATAGGCTGTTACTAATTAAAAGGAAATATTTTGGAAGTATAATTTGTTTCCCTGGTTATAATAGTCAATACATTTTTATTTCCTACTCCTTTTTTTTCCTGTTCTCTGCAATTTGTCCTTATTCTTTCGAGTACAATATAGGTCTTCAAAGGTGAAGCAGAAAATCAAGACAGGCCAACAGAGATAGACATAAACGACTAACTGTAATTTAAGACAGAATAAAGTAAATTATCATCAGTGGTAGCGTTGTGTGAGACACCAGAGGAAGG